TGCTCTCTAAACTCAGAAAAAAAATTTGTCCGAAAAACAGAAAAAAAAAAAGATTCAGAAAATCTGAAAAATATTAGTCTGAAAAACCAACCATAAAAATAAATTACTCTGAAAACAGAAAAAAAATATATCAGAAAAACAAACCCCCTAAAAAATTCTCCGAAAAACAAACCCAAAAAAAAATTCTCCGAAAAACAAACCCAAAAAAAATTTCTCCGAAAAACAAACCAAAAAATAATTACTCATAAAAACACAAATAATTACTCCGAAAAACAAACCAAAAAATACATTTGCAAGTGAATGCAATAAGCTTCCGTACAGAATAACCCAACATACCGATAGTTAATTTACTGCCATCAAGCTGTGTACTGAGGTTTTATTGTGAAAGGTACAGCTGACCGGAAGTCGTGTCCTCGTCGTTTGACTGGCGGCATCTTCAATAAACTCCGCGATGGCGGCGGGACGAGGGGAGTTCTTTCGTAGTTTGTTGGAGGGTTTAGAGAGGAAACCTGCTCAACCGGCTCCAGGTGGAGAAAAACCGGGTCCTGGAAGAGGAAGACCGGGTCCTGGCCGAGAGCAGCCCGGTCCCGGTGGAGGAAAGACGGTCGACAAGAGGAGGAAGAGGCGGCCAAAGGCGGCCCGGAGCTCCGTTAGCAGGTGACTACCGTTAACATTTCTTATTAAAGTCATTATTTAACTTTTCAATTTTATTTTTGCTGTGTTATTTATTTTCTTTAATCCGTATTCCAGCTGCCCAGAAAGAAGAAGACAGAAAAATGAAGCATATTTCCCCAAAATGAGAACTTTGTTATCAGAGGAAAACTTAATGGAAAGGTGAGTTAACTAAACACAAAGAAATAGGTTAAAACATTAGTTCCCAACCTGATTTAGGTTATTTTTTAAGTTTATATCATCATTAATATATATCAGGACACTGGACTGTATCAGGGAGAATAAACTGAATTTGTCAAAAAAGAAACCTGTTGAGTATGTATGGATTTTATTAAATAAATGAATAAATAATACAGACAGAATTGTTTAAAAAGTTCCTAAAAATATCAGAAAAACTAAAAATTGTGCTCGGTTTACACAAACTTCCTGCAGTTAATGTGTTCGCTGTTTGAGTTAAATAGAATTGAAATGTGTTTGACTTAATAAAACACTTTATACATTAATTAGAATAAGGGCTGCAAGGTTTTGGTAAAAACATCATATTGTGATTATTCTGACTAATATTGTGATATAATCATCATTTATGCTTCACACTTTTCCTTTATATTGAAAAAGTCTACTAAAATGTAGATGATGTGACATCTGTTGGGGGTCACCGGTTCCCAGCCTCGAGGTCGGGGCCACTGACAGTATATATATATATATATATATAACTTAAACCTGTATCCTCTCTGTACTTTATAAATGAGAAAAGACAAGTGCATTTAGCAGTAAGTGTATATCTCATAAACAAGTAAAGGTTTGTGACATTGTATAAACTATACTGCACTATAATGCTGTTGTTGATTGGCTGAGCCAAAGTGCAATAAAACAGTTTTTATATTAGTAATATATTACTTTTTTCTTCAGGTTGCCGTCTGAGATCCTGATCAAGATTCTGTCGTATCTGGACGCCTCCTCGCTGTTCTGCATCAGCCACGTCAGCACGCTCTTCCACCAGCTCGCCAACGATGAGTAAGTCTTCATTTATTAGGTCGTTTAACGGGTTCTCGCACTGTGGCGAAGGCTTGACCCGCTGCGCTCTGTCTTTGACCTCTTTTTCACTGTAGTGTCATGTGGCATAAGATTTACATGTCAGAGTTTGGGAGTCCAACGTGGAAGCCGAAGTCGGCGGACGACGCGGAGCCGCAGGGCGACGCGGTGGAGGGCGAGGACCGGTCGACGGGCCACTGGAGGAAGATGTACTTCAGGAAGATGGCTGGACAAGAGATGAACAAGTGGAGGAGAGAGCTGAGAGAAATCAGCCCGTACACGGGGCTGCCCAGGCAGACAGAGTGGGTCCTCAGGTACGAGAGGAAGTCCGGTTCTACCATTTCTTCCTCAGATCGTTACCTTAGAATGAGCTGTTTTTATCTACAGGGGCCATGTTTCTACAGTAGCCCAGAAGGGACAAACAAACTTGGTTTTGCTGCCACCGTACGTTCTCCTCCACACTTTTTAATGATCATAATTCATTTTATCAGACTTTGTACTGCTCTTCTCTTTCTAAAGACCTTTTTCACTTTCTTTGTTTACATGATAAAGAGATTGTGATATCTTAAACAGGGCAGCACAATTAATCAGGACCAATGACCAAGTGCAGTATGTGAATTACAGAAGCTGTAATGTTTTTGATGAAGGTGAAATATAATAAAAAACAGCATTATATTGAAATACTGGAGTTCTGAGGAGATACGCTGATACACAGATGTTGTTCTCCAGATTTAATAAAACAAGCTTTTTCTTGTACAGACCCCAGTTTTAAGATTTAATTACTTTTTGTGGGTTTTTTTTAGTGAAAATGTGAATTTGTGATGCAGAAATGATCATTCCCACATTAATTA